TTAAACACTCAAAAAGCCATTTGGACCCGTTTCCCACAGAAAAGAAAACACTGGGAGCCACAAAAACACTTCTCATGCCTGACTATTTCCTGAGTGGCCACAAAACTAGCATCAATAGTTGAATTAAAGATTCCTTTTCTTCTGAAACGTTTCTTTTCTTGGATTTATCCATGGTTAGCCTACGGGGGTGCGGGGTGGTGATGCCGAAAAGGCCAATAAACCATGTGCTGGTGGGTGCCGCACATGGGCGGTTGTGACACGTATTTGGAGTGACATGAAGGAGCCACATGTGGCTCCAGAGCCATGGGTTTCTGACCCCTGATCTAGGTCAAGGTTGCCCCAAAGGTGTTTTTCCAAAGGGAAACTGGACTTGCTTGGTTTCCCCCCCCCCCCCCCCAAGAAGATTCTTCAGTTCAGAACTGAGAAACGAAATGTTTTCAAGAGAAAAAAAAATGAGAAAGTCCAGCTGCCTTTTGGAAAAGCATCTTTGGGACATCTAGGTTGGATGGTTAACAAAAAAAACAAAAACAGCTTTTTTTTTAACTACCGATTCGGCGGGACTGGTCTGAACCAGTAGCATGACACCATCAGTGAGTCCAACCAGGGGTGGGATTCAAATTTTTTAACAACCGGTTCTGTGGGCGTGGCTTAGTTGGTGGGCGTGTCTTGGTGGTCATGGGACTGGGTGGACATGGCTTGGTAGTCATGTTATTGGCTGGGCATGGTCAACTCAATATCATCGAGGCCCGCATCTCCTTTCCTAGCCTCTCATGACTGTGGGGATGCTGTAACAGTCGTAAGTGTGAAAAGGGGTCATAAGTCACTTTTTAAAGTGCCATTGTAACCTTGAATGGTCATTTCACATAAGCAAAGTACCAGCAAAGGAGGGGGGGAAAACTCCAGAGAAGTTCCTGAGACAGGAAGTCTACTCCTGCCAAGAATGTAATAAGGGTTAACGGAGAGGCAGTTTCTGTAAGCAACACCAGAATGTTTCCTTCCTGCCTTCCTTACAGGATTAGCCCAGTAATTTCTTCTAACAACCGGTTCTCCGAACTGCTTAGAATGTTAACAACCGGTTCTAGCGAATAGGTGCGGACTGGTAGAATCCCAACCCTGAGTCTAACTCCCTGTCTAGGCAGGAAACCCTACACCACTTCAGACAAATGGGTTACCCAACATCTGTTCAAGGTCAGGAAACATTGGGCTGAAAACATCTGAACGGGCCTCCGTACCTGGTTGTCGGGATGGTTGACCGTGAAGTAGCCCACGCAGACAATGACTTCGTGAAGTAGTACTTCGCAGGTGTGGTGGGAGCAGTGCCATAGCAAGGAGCTGATGATGTGCCGGAAGGCCAGGGAGAGGCCTTCAGAGCCAACCACAGACTGGAGGGGAAAAAAAAAAAGAGAGAGAAATGTTGTAGGTGCCTCTTTCTACAAACATCCAACGGAATCCAAGGGTTTGATGTGAAGTTTTTGTTTAGCTTGGTGCCTACTCTCCATTTTTTGAGGAGGGGGGAGATTTCCACCTAATGTGCTCTAAAAAATTGGGGAGGTTCTAGCCAATAGCAAGAGGACTTGGTATCTCAGGTGGCATTTAAGAATCCATAAAATTAAGAAAGAGAAGAGAATTCTGTCAACTCCAAAGTCAAGTCAAGTCAAGTCATAACATCTTTATTGTGGTCACAGACCAGCAGAGACTCCTTTCAATATAGATATTCCTCTTTCATCCCAATATTCCTGAAATGGATTGACTGAAAAACCTGCCTTCGTATTTTACAAAGTGCTTCAACTCATAAAACATTCCTATGCCTTTTTTTAGTAGTTGCCGTTAAAAAAAGGGGGGAGGGGGAGAGAGGAAAGCTGGAAGAGCAGTTTGAAAGCGGAAGTACATTCCAACTCTTTATCTTTAAATGATTGTAACTAAAATACCAGAGTTTTTGCCCAGGAATATCTTTCATTGGAGAACGTTGACAGTGAAGGTGCTTACTTGGAGAATGTGATTTATGACACACCCAGGGGGGATGGGATGGAGGAAACAGGGTCACAGGGGACTGGAAATTACGTAGGCCAGAGTTGGCTTCATACAGGGCAGTGCCAGGATGTCGCCTCTAATGAACCCTTTGAAGCTTTTTTGAAGCTTGGCTCGAGAATCATGGTTTCATTAGAGCCATTGCTGGAATCCCGACATCAACCCCGTAGCTTAATCAGACCCATTTATTGCTGTTGGAAGTGGCTTCCTCCCCAAAGCTATTTCCAGTGGGGTGGGAAAAGAAGTATTAATCAAGGACAAAAGCATGCTGAATTTATGCAATGGGCCTACTAAACAGACAGGCAAATGTTTACGTGTGCACTGAACAGAAGCCAAGATGGATTGACGTTCTCATGTGGCTGATTTTCATGAAGCCCAAATATACGCAGCTCAAATACACTGGGGTCGGTGGTGGGATTCAAATTTTTTTTACGACTGGTTCTATGGGCGTGGCTAGATAGGTGTGGCATGGCTTGGTGGGCATGGCAGGGTACTGCAAAATCCCCCTTCCCTCCCCAGCCCACTAACCTGCTTTCCA